AACCATTTCAATGTAATTTGTTTCTTTGTAATCCTATGTATTTCATTTTATGCACTTAAAAATATGATTTTGAGAAGGGGTCTGCAGACTTTGCCAGATTGATAAGGGATCTAGAACTCCCAAAAGGTTAAGAACTCCTTATCTAGGGAGAAGGGCATCTTAAACCTTGAAGGAAATGACTTAAGCAAAATTAGGGATGTAGAAATGGATAAGGCAAGTATAGGAAACAGTGAGGGGAGGGGCTAGACTGGACCAAAGAGTTCATGTTGGGGAATTGCTTAGACTGAGCAAAGTCATGAACAGAGGTCCACGTGAGCTGGTTAGCCCACTCTGGCCCATGGCTACAATCTGTATCTCTAACTACAAACACATATCCTCAGTCACAAGAAGGTTATTACAGTCAAAGTCACAACTGAGAAGACAGTATGGATGACAGCACCAACTCTTCCCATTGGTGGGAAAAACAACTCAAAATGGGTGGTCAGCTGCGGATCAGTGAGTAATTATTCATGGACAGTTTTCAGCATATGGAACAGCCTATGGTAATTCCAACACTGAGTTTCATTAATGGAACCCTTGATTTTGGTATATTATAGGAACATTTAAATCATTCTTTAAAATCAGTTTTATTTTTCAAACAGTTCTCAAACATACTGAGTTGTACTCCTTCCCACTTCTCCATTTGATGGCTTGCAAAGTACTCTCCTAATAAATGTTTGTTGGATTTAATGCTCTCATTTGAATTTCACAACAATCCTGTTTGGTAACACGGGGCAGGCATTATGTTTCCCATTCTATAGGTGGAGAAATGGAGAACCAGAAGAGTTGGGTGAATTGCCCAAGGTTTCACTACCAGTAAGTAGCAGAGACAAGAATAAGCCTTAGGTTTTTTGACTTTTAGTACAGGGATGTTACTGGGGCATTAGGCTGTCTGGATTGCTTTGGTGAGGGTATCCCACTCAATCAAAGCCTCCTCATTTTAGAGGGATGATCCCTGTTCAAGATCTCATCCTACTATGTCAGGATTTGATTTGTTCCCTCCAACTCCCTTGTCAGGTCTAGACTGGTTCTCTGAGCTTACCCTGGAGCTGGAGGACAGGTTTCTTCAGAAAGGCCAGTGTCTTTTCCTGCTGTGGACTGTGGAATTAGCTGCTCCACTTGCCCTTTCCTGACTTTCCATCACTGTCCTATATTTTTCTCATCCAGAAGAGCTTCCTAGACTAATGCTCTCTCCTTTGGTTGTCTCGTTCTCTCCAGTCCCTTTCTATTGCCTCATCCTTTTCCTCCACCACTGTCCAGCTGATTCCAGTTCTCTCTTGGCTTCTTTATGTCCCAGTTGGCATCTGTGTCCTCAGGAGGGTAGCTCTTGGGAGGCAGAGACCATATGTCCTTCTTCTGTTCTCCTTGGTGCCAAGGACTGGGCTCTGTTCCACATGGGATACTTGACATCTGTTCTCATGCCTTTGTGAGAGTGACATGGCTTCTCCAAGTCACAGTGGGCACATCTCCATTTTGCCAGGTGATCAGGCGGCTGCATAGATAGTAAATTCCATGTGCGGAAAGGCCAAGTCTTATTCATCTTGTATCTCTCCCAGTTGCCCAGTGCAGTGGTCTGCACATAGTTGAGGCTCAATAAATATTTAATTGAATTCTTCCTCATCCCATAGAAATGGGCAGAAGATGCAGATTATCTCATGAGATCTCCATGTCAATTGCCATCTGGAGCAGACCAACTCAGGAGGCCATTCCAACTGTTCCAGGTCATCAGCTTAGCAGTTCAGCAGCTGTCTTTCTCTCTTCACATTTATGTCTTTGCTAGTTTGCATAAATGACTGGGAAAGGGGGAAGTGTGAAGCTTATATTCTCTGCCCCTGGAGGAGATTAGCTGCCAGCCTTGGCAGGAAGCAGAGATTTGGGAAGGGCCCTCATTATAGTCCCAAATTTCCACCCCAAACTCTTTGAAATTTATTCTTGATGATTAAAACAGAGACTTCCTTCTTGGCCAACTCAAACTGGGTGAGGTCCCTGGCAATCCTCATGGGATGGATGGAAGCATTGTCCTCTACGATTCATCTGCCATGAACCAATTGTGCCAAAAAGTGTACCATTTTGTTTCTGTATTTCAATGGATAACTGTCATGCTGTGAAAGGTCCTTCTTGAGACATAAAGAAACTTGCAGATTTAAGTGAAAAGATGATGCTTAAAGTCAGAATGGTCAGTGTGGTATGATTTTTAAAAGTCACTGAAAAGCAATCTCTCTCTCTCTCTCTCTTCCTTTGGCACCCCCCTCCCCCAAAACTAGTCCTCTGGCCTTCCAGGGTGACTGAAAAGTTGCTTCTAATCAATCACATTCTTAACTTTTCCAAGAGAGACAGATTTCTGATCTGTCTCTCTTGGAAAAGTTAAGAATTTGGTTCTCTGCTGGAATTTAAGTCATTAGAGTCATGGAAGGATCTTAAAGATTATCTCATTTAGCCCTTTCATATTACAGAATAAAAATTCTGAGGTCCAGAAAGAGTAAGAGTCTTGTCCAAAGTCACACAAGCACTTAGTATCAGTTCCCAGATACACAGCTGTGATCTTAAATGGACTCTTCATTGTCATCTTAGAGCCACAAGTACAGTAATAATAATAATACAATAATTTCATAATAATATGAAAATAGTTTTGATCTCACATATCCACTGAAAGGGGGTCCTAGGATTGCTGCTCTAAGAAGGTGTCCATATGCATGGGAAAAGGAAGTTGCTTCCTAGGCATTACTTATATCCATGAAACTACAGATCTGGCCCAACCTCCCCCCCAAAACAAAAAACCCACATAAAATCCATCCAAATTATTCAAGATATTAACACATTAGCAAGGATTAATTTCTCAGGTTAATTAGTTGCCACTGCATGGAGCATAGGGTGTTGAGGAAATGGGAGCCAGAACTGGTAATTTTTGATGGGGTGTGTGGAATGAGGGAGAATAGTGTAGCAGCCTTAGTGGATACCATTTTGGTAATGCTCTGGCTGGCTAAGGGAAAGCATGATTCATTTGAAGGACTGTCTGAATATGTTGGGGGTGAGGTGGGAGGGCACTGTAGGGTGGGGGAAAGAAAGTTGGTAGCACTTTAAAAATCTGTTCTATACTACTTAAATTAGTTTGAGTTTTTGAAAGTAGCTGTACTGTATTTCTTTATAACTCAAACTCCTTAGCAATTGCAGACTCCTAGGCCTTCTCCTCAAGTTAGTTCAAATTGTGGAATGAACGCTGGATTTGGTGTCAGAGGATTTGGATTTGAGACCCTGCTCAGACACTTACTAGCTATGGGACTAGGAAAGCCAAGTAATCTCAAGTCTCAGTTTTTTCATATGTGAAATGGGGATAATAATGCCCGAAGTGCCTGTCTCACAGGATTATTGTGAAAAACAATTGTAAACTGTGAAATGTCATCAATATAAGGAATTATTACTGAGTGTACAAATTGAGAGCAGACAGAGGAAAAGTATGATCAGGGCCAGATGAGATTAAATGGGGACAGATTCCTGAAAGAGTGAAATTTTTGAACTGATTTTAGCAGGTTAGTGTGATGATAGTAGTGGGATCCAGATAGATAAAGGAAGGACATTCTAAGGAGGGAGACCAAAGCTCGTGGAAGGGGTGGTGAGAGTGAACAAGCCTGCTAGGGAGTGTGAGGAGGGAGGAGGAAAGAGACGGGACCAGGTGTCCCTCAATTTGAGACACTCATGATCAAATGAGATCATATTTGTAAAGTGCTTAGCACAGTGCCTGGCACACGGTAGGCAGTATATAAATGTTTATTCCCTCCTTTATGGAGAGAGTGTCATCAAATGGATCGCACCAGGTGAAAGCCCAATAGTACATGTACTGGGGCATTTGTGAGTCTGGACTTATCAGAGGAACCCGCTGAATGAGGGGATGAGGGCAACAAATAGTGAGGTATGGGTATCTAAGAGTGAGAGACTTCTTTAAAAGTGGGGTCTCCTGGTAGAATGTGAATCTTGGCAAGAAGTAAAAAGGTTTTTTAGGGGTTAATGTCTTTGTGTGAGTGAGTCCTTGGGGCCAAATAAAAAATTTTCTTTAGTTGTGGGGTAGGGGTGGGGTGGGGGTGTAGGCAAGACAAAGGGAAGAAGAGAACTGAGACAATTTCTTGGAGGCGCCAAAGAAATAACTCAATTGGGAAGAAAATAAGTTCTGGACTTTTCTCTTGGTCTGTTCAGATGCAGATAACATCATGTGGACTTCAGAGAAAGCATCTATTACACCCCGTTCTTTACTGTTCACTTAATTTCCTTAAAATAAAATCAATCCCTTTTGATATAATAGACATAGAGCTCCACCAAACCTCCCCTCTCTCCCCTGCTCTCCCACTCTCTGCTTACTCCACTAGTACATTCCTTGGAAACAGTTAAGGTAAATTGCTGAAACTAGCCTTTTTTCAAATGAGGAAACTGAGGCCCAGAAAGGAGAGGTGATTTGCAGAGCTTAGAGTAAGAGTATAGGTCTTCTGATCCCCTAATTCTGTGGTCTTACACATATGGTCTCCTCAAGTGAGTGTTTTACACGTATGTTTAGCGATTAATGAGACAGGCAGGAAGGTCACCATGAAGGATTAGCAGGACTAGAGAAATGCTGACCTATACATCCCCAAACCTGAATGTAAGGTACTTTGGGGATTTGGGGCTGTGTCAGCCCCTGCAGGAAGGCCCCTTTTCTAACACAAGCTTATTTTTACTGAGTAACACAAAGCAATTTGGGAATTTTGAGTGATTATCAAGGTGTGTTGCTAGTTTTGGACTCCATCTATTGCTGCCAGGCAAACCCAATCCGTTAATTCCCTCAATTAGGTCTCTGGCTCAGAAGTAGCTAGCCAAGCTCCCTGGCCTTATAAAAGGGGCCATCGTGGGCCCTGAGCTTCAGAAGGTTTCTGAGTATCCTCCGGCCTTCCTCCCCCTGGCGCTCCGAGTTCGTCTTTCTTTTGGAGTACATCACCATGAGCCATCAAATCAGCTATAGCCAACAATCTCATAGGACCTCCAGTGGAGGACAACGCCAGGGATTCAGCGGCCAATCTGCTGTGGTCTCCAGCAAGAGCTGCATCAGCTCTGGCAAGTCGACATCCGCTTCCCGATGTGGAGGAGGCAGGGGCAGCGGTGGCAGGAGCGCTTCCTCAGCCTGTGCCATGAGGGGTTTGGGTTTTGGGAGTAGGAGCCTGTACTCGCTTGGGGGGAGCAAGAAGATCTCCTACAGTGTGGCTGGGGGTAGCTACCAGGCAGGGGGCTTCAGTGGTGGCCGAAGTGGTGGCTTTGGGGGGAGTGGGTTTGGAGCTGGTGGCTTTGGAGGGGGAACTGGTAGTTTTGGAGGGGGAACTGGTAGTTTTGGAGGGGGAGCTGGTGGTTTTGGAGGGGGAGCTGGTGGTTTTAGAGGGGGAGCTGGTGGCTTTGGAGGGGGAGCTGGTGCTTTTGGTGGCCCTGGTGGCTTCGGTGGCCCTGGTGGTTTTGGTGGCTCCAGTGGTCCTGGTGGTTTCCCTGGCATCCATGAAGTGACTGTCAACCAGAGTCTCCTAAAGCCCCTCAATGTGGAGATTGACCCCCAAATTGGGCAAGTGAAGAACCAAGAGAAGGAGCAGATCAAGACCCTCAATAACAAATTTGCTGCCTTTATTGACAAGGTGAGTCAGTCTGAAGCAATGGGGTAATGAACAAACCTGGTACCACAGTATCTGCCCAGATCGTGTCCTGTGATGTAAATTGGGCTTGACTTGGACTCCGGACACAGGTTCAAATGCAGGTTATGTTATTTACCTTCCATGTAAAGGTCAGGTCAGTCACTTCCACACTTCAATTCCTCAACTGTAAAATGAAACTGTTGGAACCAAGGACCTCTAAGGTCCCTTCTAGATCTAAAGGATCTGGATCTATTTGGATCTAAAGGATCTAGATCTCTGGATCTATGACCTTTGCTGTACCTCAGTTACTTCATGTGTCAAATGAGATAATTTGCCTAGAAAATTGCTAAAGTCCTGTCCAATTGTAAGATTCTATCATTCTATGGCTATCTTGAGATAGCAAACTAACTTAGCTTAGCTTCAACTTCCAGGAATTTCTCAGTGATCAATCAGCTCCCTTCAGTGGCAAATTTTGTTTTCCTTTTCTTATTAACATGGTCACTCTACTCACGTCCTTTGTCCATAGAACTGGCTCAGCTTAGCAAGATTCCCTGGGGAGAAGAAGGTCTTTGAGATTAAAGCTCTTTAGTTTTCCTATCTATACTGAGGTAAATGTGAGCTAATCAGCTTAGGAAGAGAGAGGGCAACTATGTTAAAACTGATCTTTCCCTCAGCCAGAAAGGTGATGCTCTCTATCCTTAGCCTATGGGAAGAGAAAGAGGTAGAGCTGGGACCATAATGGCAAAGATGGATAGATAGTAATAGAACCCTTTACCATTTACAAAGCACTTTCTTCACAAACCTTGTAAAAAGATAATGCAAAGTATTATTTAACTTTTACAGATGAAGAGACTGGGGCTCAGATATTAAGTGACTTATCCAGGGTCTCTGGGCTAATAAGAATTAGGGCTAGAACTTAAACCCAGCCTTTTTTTGAATCAAAGAGCAAAAATTTTTTTCCACTAGAACTCCTTCTAAGACAAGTCCTCAAAGGCCAATACTATTATTTGTTGTGAAGGGTTGATAGTGACCCAAATTCTTGGCATATCTGAGGAGGAAAAAGAAATCTCCAAGGCCAAAGAGAAATGATTCAGGAACTCTGATAAAAATGTGATTGTTTCTGTAGTTCTGAGGTAAATAATCAAACAGATAAAATTTTAATAATTATTGTAAGCTGCTTTGACCACACATTTATTCCTTGGGCTGAGGAAGGAAGGTCTTATTAGGATAAATGTGTACAGCTGGGGAGAAATGCCTAGTGCCCCCAAGTAGCATTACGCCATTTGAAACCTGGCTCCCAGATGACTAGCCCTGTGACCTTCTGCAAGTCACTTTATTTCTCTGAGCCTCAGTTTGTCACTTGCAAAATGGGCACGAATAATACTGCACTGGCTACCTCATAAGGATTTTTTGTGAGGATATAATGAAATAGAACTTCAAAATGTATAGAAATGTGAGCCATTATGATAAGAAAGTAAAAAGAGGGATAGAAAAACCTTTAGGGGGCACATGCAATTTAGCAGAGCTGGCTTCAGGCATAACTGTGAAGTAGAAATCTGCTCTCATTTCCTACTCCACTTCTCCCTTCCTCCCCATAAAACACCCAAATCAAACCTTAAACTTCTTACGCATTTGGCAATTTCTGCTTCAAGGAGGAGGAGAGAGAATTCTGGATTTGCCACTAATAAGATCTGTGTTCTTGGACAAATTTCTGGGTGGTCAGTCTGGCTCTAGTATTAAAATATTTCTGCCTTTCTTCTCTACCCCCTTCTCAGGTTGCCTGGCAAAACTCATTCATGCACAATTAGGTAGAATAGTAGATAGTGCTGGACCTGAAATCAGGAAGACCTAAGTTCAAATCCAGCCTAAGATACTTACTGGCTGTGTGACCGTGAGCAGATCACTTAACCTATGTCTGCCTCAGTTTCCTCAACTGTAAAATTGGGATAGTAATAGCATACCTACCTCCCAGGGTTGTTGTGAAGATCAAATGAGATAATATTTGTAAAGCACTTAGCATTGTATCTGGCACATAGTAGGTACTTAATAAATGCGTATTCCTTCACTACTCCCCTCTTTCCAGGACAGTCTGATATTTGTATTGTAAAAGATAGCTGAAGGGAGAGGATTACTTTAGGGCAAAGGTTTCACTCTCTAATGGTGAGAACTTATATATGAATGGGGAAGTAATTTGAGGGTATAGGATCTTCTCAGCACCCCTCCAATCATACTGGTAGGCACTGTGTTTTATCTTCCATAAGGCAGGGAATATCTTAGTCTGCTTAGTAGAATGCCTTGCAATAGTAAGTACACAGTAAATGTTTCTTCAATGTATTTACATATATTTATTTGAACCTGGGATGGGGGAAGGAGGAGCTGTTAAGGACAGGCATTATCCACATTTCACAGAAGAGACTGATAAGGGTTTGTTGAGATTTTATTGGCAAGGATGCTGGAATGGTTTATCATTTTCTTAATATGATATGTTTCATCTATCATGCAACATAGTAAATATGATATAATAATACAATGTTATAACATAATATAATGTAGCACAGAATAGCATAGTGTAGCATAATATAACATAACATAATGTAACATAACATAACATGGTATAATCTAATACAGTATAGTATAGTATAGTATCATATAGTGTGATATAGTATAGTATAACATAGCATAGTATAGTATTATATGATATGATATATGATATGGTATGATATATGATGTGATGTAACATAATGTAACATAATATAATATAATGTGATATATACCTCTCATAGTAATAAGAACAGATATTGAGTACACTTTATGGTTACAAAGTACTTTTATATTTGCTTCCTCATTTGATCCTGCCTAGTTGGTGTGTTCATTAGTTCAAGCGTGTTTATCCTTGTTTTACTGATGAAAAGACTGAGGCTCAGTGTAGTTAAATGACTGAAGTTAGATGGATAGTAACTGGTCAAGCCAGGACTAGAACCTAGGTCTTCTGATTCCTCGGATGATAGTAAGCAATTACAGAGCTTTCTGGGGGCTGTGGTGGATCTTGGCCAGCAGTGCCCTGGAAGAGTCCAGGAGGGTACTGAGAGCGTCTCCTTTTTGGTCTACAGGTCCGGTACTTAGAACAACAGAACCAAGTCCTAGAGACCAAGTGGCAGCTGCTGCAGGACCATGGTTCCACCTCTAGCTCTGACACCCAGAACCTTGATCCCTTCTTTGAGAACTACATCAGCAGCCTCAGGTCCTACCTGGATGGGCTGGTTAATGAAAAAAACAAACTGAATGGGGAGTTGTCCAGTATGGAAGACTTGGTTGAAGACTTCAAGAAGAAGTGAGTTTCACTTCCAGCTGTACCTTAGCAGGCATCTAGGTGGGTGCATCATAGAGTTAGATCTGGAAAGGACATTAGAAGGCATGTCATCCAACCCCCTCATTTTACAAATGAGGGAAACTGAGGCCCAGAGAAGTTTAGTGACTTTCCCTTTTGTGTGGAGGAAAAGATACTAGATAGTAGGTTAGGTGATCTGAGTTCTAGTCCTGGCTTTGGCCTGAGTCTTAGGCACTCTGCCTTGTGACCCGTCCTCTTTGGAAGGGTCCCAATATGCTCATATTACCTCCCCACGATGGTTTCCCCAGCCCTCTGGATTTAAAGTGAAGATAGTGTGGTAAAGTGGAAAGAGCTCTGTACTGAAACTCTGTACTGAAACCCTATACCAGACAAAACAGATGAGATTTGGGTGCTAGTCCCTGTTTTGCTAATTCCTGGCTCTGTGACATCCTCCTCTCTGGGTCTGCTTTCTCTACTGTAGATTGAGATGATTGGGCTCCTAAATAGTCCCTTCTGACTTTCTATCCAATGTTTTCTCCAATCAATCTCCCCTTCTATTCTTCCTTCCACCTCCATCACCTGTCTATAAAGCAATTTCTTTCTCATCATTTGAATAACTCCTAATCCTCACCTTTTAAATGACTCCTAATCCAGGAAACCTTCCTAGGCTTTGCCTGTGTTCTGCTCTCCCAAGGCCTCTCTTTTCCCTAAATTTTATATTTACCCTCATCTACCATCCCTATGTGGTGAGTGTTCTATGATCAGAATACCGGACACCTGTATTGGTTCAATCTTCCCATGGTTCTTTCTGGCCTTGAATATATAGGTAGATAGGGAGCACATCTCTGGTCAGAGTAATTTATACTGCAGCTGGTAGATGACTGTAATCTTTCAGAAGACTTTTCTTTCATAATGCTGAGAGACAGAGAGAATACACTTATGTAGTCCCTATTCTCAGGCACTCATAGTCCAAGACAGAAGCATAGACATAGACAGATAAATAAAAGACAGCTAGAAAGAGGGAATTGAACCGAATCGAGCTGGATGACCGAATGAAAACAACAGGCATAGACTGGACAATAAAGTATTAACATCACATATGGGTAAGTCCAGGGTAAGCAAATTAGGGCAAGCACAGTTTGGGAGGCGAAAATGAAGGGAAGCACAGGATGAGGAAGTGGTCCTAACTCCAGGTGATGTAGGGTTCTTCCCTGATCAATCCAGGAGGGCTTTCTTTGGAGAGAGAGACTTTAGGACAGTGTCCAATAGTTAATTCAGCATCATTTGGATGTTTTTCCTTTAGTCTGGTCAGCTTGGATTTCCTGATCATTTTGAGGACTCTCTGGAGGTCCCAAGAGGGTTCTGGCCTGAAATGTCTTTTTTCTCCACAGGTATGAAGATGAGATCAACAAACGCACTGCTGCTGAGAATGACTTTGTGGTTCTTAAGAAGGTGAGGCTCCCCACTCCCATTCCTTTTCCCTGGGGACCTCACAGTGGTGTGTGTGGTTGGGAGGTGGAGGGAGATGGCAACTCTGGAACTGGAAAGACAGGAAGGAACATTAGCAGAGATCAGACTCCTGCAATGTTATAGCTGAAAGGGAATGCAGGGTTCATTTAGCTAGTCCAATTCCCTCATCCTATTGAAGTAACTGAAGCCCAGAGATCAAGTGACTTATCTAAGGTCACATTGTTAGTAACTACTAGCGTGGACACTAGGAACCAATTCTTCCAGCGTTCACTCTGGAGTTCTTTCCTTTACACCAGGGGTTCCTAACTCTGTGTGTGTGTGTGTGTGTGTGTATGTGATGGCCCCCCTGTAAGTCAGGTAAATCCTATGGACTCCTCAGAATAATTTTTTAAAATTAGATTAAATTAAAAAGGAATTAAAAATTAAATTAAAAAAGGAATATAAGAGAAACAAATTCTATTGCAATACAATTATCCCAATATTAAAAAAGTTTACGGACTCCAGATTCAGAAGCTCTGCTTTATACCTTATCATCGCACTATCTCTCACTTTGAATCTGGAGAGCTGGGGAAACTCTTGTGAGGAGTCAGGATCTGAGGAGATATTTGCCTCCTGGGCAGGTAGGAATCCTCCTGAAGAGGCCCTACCATGAGGTAGAGTGTCCAGTATTTAGGGTAAAGCTATTTCTTTACTCTTCCTATCCCTCAGGGAAAGTAAATAAAGTACCAAGCTTCCTCTCTGGGTCATTCCTCCCTGATGGGCTTATTGAATTTTTGAATACGATAGGATTTTAAGTTTTGCCAGTAAAATGTACAAAGGGAAAAAGTCAGATGTTCACTAGTTGTATGACTATGAGCATGTTACTTCACCTGAAACTCAGCTTACTCATCTGAAAAAATAGGCATACCAATACTTGCACTGCCTTTCTTACTGGATCATATTAAGGAAAGTACTTTGTAAATCCTGGCTGCTAGAGAAATGGGAGCAATTAGTAGCAGTATTATTACTAATAGTCAGTGTTCTTGGTTTATTGGTTAATAGGTTCTTAGTCTATCAGTTTAAAGGACTGTAAGAGTCTGAAGACTCTCCCTTGGAGAGTTAAAATTGCTTTTAGTTCATCTTACAGCTCCCCTGGACCTGTCTTCTCAAATCCAAATTCCTCACTTGGCTTTTAAAGGCCACTATACCATTCCTTGGAGAGGCAGCAGGATATGGTCAAAGAGTCCCAGATGTGGAGTCAGGAGGGACCAATTTTGATATAAAGGACAACTGTTCGACACTGGGCAAGTGACTTAATCTCTGAGCCTCAGTTTCCTCATCTGTAGAATGGGAGTTGTTGTGAAGATCACATGAAATGGATGGAAAGGGCTTTGACAACCTTAAAGTGTTAAATTTGTTTAGTCAATTAGTCGTGTCTAACTCTTCATGACCTCATTTGGGGTTTCCTTGGCATAGTAGTCTGGAGTGGTTTGTCATTTCCTTTTCCAGCTTATTTTACAGATGAGGAAACTGAGGCAAACAGGGTTAAGTGACTGGTCCAGAGTCAAACAGCTAGTAAGTGCTTGAGACTGGATTTGGACTCTAGGAATTCTTCTAGCATTGGATCTGCAATCCTTTTCTCTCTGGACCTCCCATCCCCTATGTGGTGGATCACCAGGGCACAATTCAGACCAACTGAATTCTTTGACAGGATGTAGATGCTGCCTACATGAACAAAGTAGAACTGGAAGCCAAAGTGAACAACGTGATGGATGAGATTAACTTCCTAAAAGCCTTGTATGATGCAGTAAGTTCCCACTTCCCATTCTTCTTACCTACTTGCCTTCTGGCTTCTTAAAACAAGAGCTTAGGAACTTCTTCCAGAGAGACTCCATCTCAAGAATCCTGCTTGAATCTGTTCTCCTGAGCCAACAATGACCAACCTTGGTGAGCTTTTCTAGCTTCTCTTGGGAGGACCTTCAGGAAGGTCCTGTTATATAACTGCAGTCCCCGTTGCTGGAATCCATGTTATCTCCTCCACATCCTACATTCAGTGCTACCCTGGTTAGACGTAGCTGTTTTCTAGCCATCTCTGAGACTTCTTTCTGTTTCCTGTTTCTGACTTCCTTCCTCCTCTTCCTCCTCCTCTTCCTCCTTTTCCTCCTCCTTCTCTGATGGGTTTCAGTGCCCACAGACCATGTCTGGGAGTGAGTGTATCCATGTGGGTTTGCAGGAGCTGTCCCAGATGCGGTCAGACACCAGCGACACCTCCGTGGTCCTGTCCATGGACAACAACCGATTCCTGGACTTGGATAGCATCATCAATGAAGTCCAAGCACAGTATGAGGATATTGCCCAGAGGAGCAAGGTTGAGACTGTGGCCCTATACCAGACGAAAGTAAGTGATACTGGTTCATTAGTTTGGGAAAACTTCTTGTGTCCTACGACTCTAGAGCTGGGGCAAGGAATTTGTTAACAGCAGACTCCTGCTTTTGACAGTCCAGACTTACCCTATGTTAGAGTCCCATATATTCTTTCTAACTGAGTGTCAGAAAACCTGGGTTAGAACTCCAGACTGGCCACTTTCTAGTTGTGTCACCATGGGTAGTCCCCACATGGGGAGAGTAATACTTGTAATAGTGGAAGTAATACTTCCTTACAGGGCAAGGAAAGTGATTTGCAAACCTGAAATTTTATTAATGAGAGTTTGACTTATTTTTCATAATCCCCTAGGGGACACATTCTACCATTCCTCTCAATTGCTTACTCTAGGTATCATGGAATTCTTTTCCTGATCATTGCTAAGTAGAAAACAGAAACATTCTCTCTAACCCAGGTGATCTTAATCTGGGGTCCATGAATCTCTCTCTCTCTCTCTCTCTCTCTCTCTTTGTCTCTGTCTCTCTCTGTCTGCCTCTCTGTCTCTCTGTCTCTGTCTCTCTGTCTCTCTCTCTCTCCTTCTTCTTCTCCTTCTCCTTCTCTTCCTCCTCCTCGTCCTCCTCGTCCTCCTTATCCTCCTCCTCCTCCTCCTTCTTCTCTCCCTTCTTTCTCTTTCTCTAAACATGTTTAAAAAACTATTCCATTGTAATTGGTTTCCTTAATCCTCTGTATTTTATCTTACGCACTTAAAAGAAGTATTCTGAGAAACGGGGGCCAATAGGCTTCACCTGACTGCCAAAGGGGTTCATCACAAAAAAGTGGTCCAAGCTAGGTTCTTATTGAATTTCAAACACACTTCCTTTAGCACTTGCTCTTGATGCAGAATACAAAATGCCCTCTCTACTATGGAGCCAGGGGAAATGGAGTGAACCTAGACTTTCTCTTGGCCCAAAGAGCTCCACACAGATTCTCTCCAGTTGGTCACACCAGAACAGTCAGAAATTCCCCACCATGGGCAGTTGCATCAACCTGGAATTGAGTCAGGTTCCGGGTTCTGGAACCATCAGATTGTGGCAATGACATGGTGTAAATTGTTGTGAGAGCAAGGATGCATGGGGTTCAGTCCTGGCTCTGCTATGGAACTTTGGGCAAGTTACCTCCTCTCCTTTGGTCTTGGTTTCTGCATCTGTAGAATGGGGGGGGATTAGACTAGAATATCTCTAAGGTTCCTTCCAGTGCTCTGACTATGGGTTTGTTTTCTGACTATTAGCTGGGAGAGCTGGAAAACACAGCTGGAAGGCATGGGGATGACCTGAAAAACATCAAGAGTGAGATCTCTGAGCTCAACAGGATGATCCAGAGGCTTCGAGCTGAAATTGAGAATGTCAAGAAGCAGGTGGGTAGCTGGAGGGAGAGGTAATAGAGGCTACACTTGAAGCCAGGAAAACGTAGGTTCAAATCTAGCTTGTGATACTCTCTGACTCTGAGCAAGTTATTTCTCCTCTCTGAGCCTCAGTTTCCTTATCTGTAAAATGAGAAAGTTCAAATGAGATAATATATGTAAAAGCTTTGCAAACTTTAGGTGTCAGCTATTATAATAAGAGTTATTATTATGGCTTAAACTTAAATCATAAAACATGGTTATCAAAAGTGAAAATGCAAGGCCTAATTATCTGTGTAGGGAGCTTTTGGTTCAGAAAGTATTCAATATATGCTTGTTGATTAATTTATTGATTAGTGCCCCTCCACCTATCCAATCGTGTGTGATCCTGTCCTGGCAGCTTCACCAGGATAGCAACCACACTCAGGCATTGCCCTGTGGAAACCTGAAGCAGGCTAATGTCAGAAATGTTACCAAAGTGTAAAAGGTCATGCAAACATTTAGACAGCAAAGCCAAGATGTAAGTATGTGCATTGGGGGGATGACTATAGAAGCCCCATTTCCATATTGGAAGTGTGGGGGGGGAGGCTGGGAAGAAACTGTCAGCCATTTTCCTTCCTTAATCCAGGCAAGCTTCTTGGCAGAGATGGCTTTTCAGTGGTAGGAAGAATAAGATCAACAGACCTAATGTTGACAAATTATATGGAAAATATAGATGGAAAGCAGGAAGAATAAGATTTGTATATTTACTTCACAGAGCTGTTATGAGGACTGTGCTTTGTAAATCATAAAGGGACGTATAAACGTAGACTGATCACTCTCTAGTCATACTTATCCAGTCACGAGAAGCTAACATCTGAAGAATGTGAGGCTGCTAACATCATTATTTTCCTTCTCTCCTCTCTACTCCCTCCCTGCCATTTCCACCCTTTCCCCATCAGAATGCCAACCTTCAAGCAGCCATTGATGATGCTGAGCAGCGTGGGGAGATGGCTCTCAAGGATGCTAATGCCAAGGTGGTGGACCTCAACGCTGCCCTTCAGCAGGCCAAGGATGACCTGGCCCGTCTACTTCATGATTATCAGGAGCTCCTGACAGTCAAACTAGCCTTGGACATAGAGATCGCCACCTACAGGAAGCTGCTGGAGGGAGAGGAGTGCAGGTTAGACATGGAGACTGGTTTGGCCCAAGGAGATATGGGCCAGAAGGAGATTTTTAAGTCCTTGAGTTTGGGGGAGTTGGGTGTAGAGGAGACAGGGAGTCTTGGCATGCATTTAGGGTATTTCTACATCAACCTCCTACCCAAGGCATGAATCCCTTAAACAGCATCCTTGATAAGAAAAGTCATCTTACTTCCTCTTATTGACCTCCAGTGATGGGGAACTCACTACCCTTTGAGTCAGCCATATCAATTTTTTGGACAGTTCTAATTGTCATTAGTCTCATATCAGCCTCCATGTAATTTCCCTCCACTGATCTTTACTCTTCTGGGGATTGAAATAGCATAAATGTAATCCCTTCTCCACATGACAGACCTTCTAATATCTGAAGGCAGTTTTCTTGTCACCTCTTCTTCAGGCTAAACACCTCAACAACTCCAGGGGGAAGAATTAGGCTAGAAGATCAAGAAGAGCATTCTGTTTTTAAGGACTCAGAAGTACCAAAGCATAGTCCCAAGGGAAGCTGAAGAATGTCCTGCTCTGAGAATGTTTATGGAAAGGGAGATAATTTAGATCTAACTCTGATTAGACAAAGGTTCTCCTAGTCTATGTAGAATTCCTTCTTGCTAAGAAAGAGGGGAGTCATGGGAAGGTAGAGAATTTAGGCTTTAGCTAATTCAGCCAGTAGAAAGGTGACATTCAGGGAAAGGTCCCCATTGAACCAAAGATGACTGTATTGTAGCCCAGGGGAGGCATAAGGAAAAAAACCCCAAGCTTGGGATCAGTAATGTGTAGCTGGAGGTTTTCCCCTAACAGGATGAGTGGAGAGTGCCCGAACACCGTGAGCATCGGTAAGCAGTGGTTTGTTACTTTGGGGAGCTGTGGGAGAGGTAAAATGCTAGGCTGTTGGTTCTTAAACCATGACTTAGGAAGAACAATAGGAATAAGAGGCAGAAGAGTCTGTGGTCAGGGCTATAGAGAGCCAACCCAGATTTGGTTTTGGGAATAGGAGTGGTTGGCTTCCTCCCTTTCCCTAGGCTGTATATGGCTTCCCACTCCTTTCCCTGAGACATCAGGGCTCAGCACTCACTGCATAGACTATAGATACAAGTGCCATCCAATATATTCCCTGGAATCTGTAATTTTTTCTTTCTGAAACCTATGGTCCTAGAGCTGCAGGATATTATAGATTCTTCAGTTCAACTGCTTCATTTTACAGACAAGGAAACTGAGATCCAGAGATGCAATTTTTTTGCTTAAGGTCATTTAGCTAGTTAGTAACAAAGCCAGGATTTGAACCCAGGTCTATTGCCTCTAAGTCTTGTGTGCTTTCACTAAACGATCCCAGAGTCTCTGATTCAGAAGCCACCTACTCTAACCCACGTCTGATTAGAAATTTCTATACCTTCTCTAACATGACACTCAACTGTCTGTCATAGAAGTTGACAGGACATCTATTAGTATAGTTCTTATAAGATTAAATATAGGTATTGATGGACCCCTACAGTGGTAGAGCTAGAAACCATCTAGTCCAATTCCTCATTTTAGAGATGAGGTATATTCCTTTCCCAAGGTCGCATGGTGAATTTGAAACTAGAGGGATTGTTTTAGTACCGATCCACAACTAGGACAAGGTGATCAGGGCTTTGACCCAGGGCACCTAAATTTAACACATGAATGCCTTCAGCAGGTAGAAACCAGTAATATAACTAATTCCTCTTCCACTCAATTGAATTTGTCTTAAATTACTTGTATTATTTTCACACCATGAATTGTAAAATTGATTTAAGGGTTGCTTGCCTTGGGCACCAACATTTATAACTATAGCTCAGGTGTGGGTGTGTGTGTGTGTGTGTGTGTGTGTGTGTGTGTGTGTGTGTGTGTGTAGATGAGTGATGGGGGAGGCTAGTGGAAAGCCACTCCAGGTTCCTGATTACATATGTGTGTGTATTTTTTTTTCCAGACATGGTCCACAGCAGCAGCAGGGGTGTGTCCACGGGAGGAGGAGCTGGAGGACATGGCCGAAGTGGCACCAGTGGGGGAAGTTATGGTACTGGGGGGACAGGCAGCAAGGGAATGGGTAGTGTGGGCTATGGTGGCAGTTCCAGTGGGGGCTTGAGCTCTGGTGGGAGCTGTAGCATTGGAGGTGGGTACTCTGGACAGTCTGGAGGCTCTGGGGTTCTCAGTGGGGGTGGTAGTAGCTCCTTCCAGGTCTCACAGAGCTCTACCAGGAGCCAGAGGTCCAACAGCAAATTCTAAACTACACATCAAAAGCCCAACCCTGCTCACCTGTGCCCCTTACTAGCCCAGGCTAACCAAACTCTGCATTATGCTATCCTCACCCCTACATGGCTTCCAGTCCCCTTCTTGCTTCTGCCCCCTGCTCTGGCATCCTTCAGCTGTTGAGACCACAGCCATGGAAGTCAGAGGGTTTGCAATGTGTTGGAAAGTATCAGCTGGGCCTATGCCTAGGATATGAGGCCCTTGGGCAATGTCCAGACCCTACTCTCCGCCCCAGAAGGCCCTGTGTCCTATGGGAGAGTCTCAGCCTAGTGACTCTAACCCTTGGGAGATCCTTTGGTCTCTACTTTGTCCAGATGCTTTGATTTCTTGTTGAATGATACTGTTCCAGGAAAACTGTGCTGTTATTCCTCTTCAATAAACTGCATTGTTTAAGACATTTCAGTTCTAGTTTTCATGATGTCCCTCTGGCTTCCTTCTTCTCTATTGTATCTTTCCCAGGGGAGGCTGTAGTGTCACAAGGACTTCCCAAGGTCATTGTGCCTGATCTGTCGTAGAGCCTTCTGAGCTCATATTGGACTGATCAGCCAGTTGAGCACACTGTACTTTGCCAACATCATGATGTCCAGGAGCTCGGGATCTGGCTCGCTGCTCCCTCACCTTCACAAATGGCTTCAAAGCACTCTACAACTTGGCAAGGAATAGACTTTGAGCCAAAAGTCTTGGATTCCAGTGCTGTATCTGCTTTTTGCTACTTGTGTGACTCTAGGCAAATCATTTAATCTCTCTGGGTCTCAGCTTCCTCATCTGCATAATAGGGGGAGAGGCTAAACTCAATGACCTCTGCAAATCCTTTCCAGTAATAATTTCTATGAATGATCTCCTTGGGTCTTCCTACTCAATCATAGCATCTTTTCTTCTTCCTGGAAAGGAAGGTGTGTTTGAGTGTGCTGACCACAGTCGCTTGTGGAAATATATGAACTGCAGTAGGACCCATGGTGAAAACCATCATGATGTCATTGGTCCTCTTCAAGTATGAAGGACAAATGATAACAAGAAGTTAGAAAGTATTGGACATGGAGTCCAGAGACATGGGTTTGAATCCTGGCTTTACTAGCTGTGTGACCCTTAGTAGGTCACTTTCCTTCTTGGCAGCTAGGAGGCGCCATAGTGCACAAAGAGCCAAGCTTAACATCAGGAAAACATGAGTTCAAATCCAGGCTGAAACACTTCCTAGTCATGTGACCCTGGGCAAATCACTTCACCTCTATTTGCCTCAGTTTCCTAAACTGTAAAATGGGGATAATAATAGCATCTACCTTTTAGGGTTGTTGTGAGGATGAAATGAGATATCTGTAAAGTGCTTAGTATGGTGGCTGGCATGCAGTAGGTACTTAATAAATGCTTATTCTTTCCCCTTCTCCCTCCTCTGAATCTAAACCACAAAGCTGCACAACTTCCCTCACAGGGAGTTGTGTGGAAAGTGCTTCAAACAACTTGAAGGGGTATAGAGGTTGGGGTTGTTATTGTTGTTGCTACATACCACCCACACTGAGCACTTCTTTCTCATGTTCAGTGCCCTGCCCTGGGTGATGGTATGGGTGGGTGTGGGTGTGGGAGACACAGGGAAGAGGAGGTCTCTGCCATCAGGGAGTTCCCAGTCTAATGGGAAGATAGGACCCAGGCTTCAACATAGGCACAGAACAGCTGGACAAGACTGGACATTTTTTTTTTGGTGGGGGGAAGGGTGGGAGGGAGGATGGGGAGGAAAATGAGAAAGTATGGAGAGAAGGGAGCAGACTTACACAAGGGTGTAGAAGAATCATCTAGAAAAGGCTTCCTGGCATCTCCATGGGATCATAGAATTTTGGAAAGAACCTTTGGAGATCCTCTGGTTCAGTCCTTTTATTTTTTTCAGGTGAGAAAGCTGAGGCCCAGAGAGGTAAAAAAGATGAGGACCTTCTGAGCTTTGAGGTGGCCCTGGACATTGAGGTCACCACCCACAGAGAGCTGCTAGAGGTCAAGGCAGGCAGGGTAGGTCCCCACACCTATCGGGAGCCTTAGGTCACAGGGAGGGGCCATTGAGGGGACAAGGGATCATGAAGAGACCTTTTTGTTGACTTTGGAATGCTCCTGGCCTGATACGGCAGAGCTTCAAAATGTAAGAATTCTTTCATTGGGTGGATTCTGCAAGAGCTTACAAAGCAAGACTGAAGAAAATCAGGCAATGGGCCAAAAGAGAAGCCATAGGATGGATGTCAGTGAAATGGAATCATTCCCTGTTTGGGTGCCATGGCCTCCTACAGTTCTTATAACACAGAAGGCCTTTGGGAATTTATTTGGCTTCTGGAGAAGCCTTCCTCATTTACTGGGGGGAAGGCAACAGTTTTGGAAGATTAAGCTCCATCCTCTCCAGTGAACTCACAGAGGATGTTACTGTAAACATTGCCTGCTGTGATTCAGTTCAATTTCACAATGTTTGCTTTGTGGTTCCTGATGGCCCTTCTCATTCCGTGTATTAAAGAGATGTTCGAATTTTGTAACTGAAAGAGCCATCCTTTCTCTGGGAAATGTGAAGGGATTGATACTGTTTCCTAGAAAATAGATCCATGTAAACATGCTTTTATATATGGCTATATTAATAATTGAGACCTATCCCCCCTCAGGATATTTGTATATTGAGGCATTCCATTTTCTTGCCCCTGGCTCCACCAGCCCCCATCTAAATGAGCATTTACAGCACTTTTCATTCCTGTTTTGAAAACAACCTGAAATCATCCCTTTTGGCACTGGCAAGGTAATTCCTTTCTTTTTCTAAAATCTGTTGAATTCTCCTCCTGTTTCTCTAAGTATAACTTCATAGATAAGTATCCATCTGGGTCCAGGTAGCACCTGGATCACTGAGAAGATCCTACATAACCTCCCTTGTGAGCCAACCTTGGGCAAATGGAGAAACACTCATATCATATTTTTATACCCCTCAATCAATTACTTCAATCAAAGATTTAAAGGCATAGATAGAGGATTGGAGATAATAGATAACACCTGATTCCCCACCAATCATCCTTCTGGAATCCCTGAGATGGAGGGAGTACTTCTAACACACAGCAGAAAATGGGACAGAAAGGAAACCTATTACATTACAACACTAATGTGGATGCAGATCCAGAAGACTACAGTATCCTTCCTTCTATCTCCAGCTGGTTGCTGAAAATATCCTCTAACACATTTTTTTTTGAGGCAATCAGGATTAAGTGACTTGCCCAGGGTCACACAGCTACTAAGTGTCAAGTGTCTGAGACTGAATTTGAACTCAGGTCCTCTTGACTCCAAGACCGGAGCTCTATCCACTGTACCACCTAGCTGTCCCTAATACATCTTTTATACACGTAAATCTCATGCATGGGTTTTCTTCCTTTTTTTTTTCTGGTGCAGACTTTGAGTTACCATATGGTCTCGCATTTGGCATTTGCTGCCAAATGTAGGAAATGAAAAGGGGGTGGGGTGGGACTAATTAAATCTCTTCATTTTAAAATTCCTTGAACTCATTTCAAATAGTGCAGTGAATGGTTCTTATTTAGATGTTACCAATTCAATTCAATTCCTTTCTGTGTGACTCTGGACAAGTCACTTAAACCTTTTGGGTCTCAATTTCCTTATCGGTAAAATGAAGGAGCTAGACTAGATGACCGTTAAGGTCCCTCCAGTTCGAACCCTATGAAGTTCCCTACACAAACATTTATTAAGCACCTACAATGTTCAGAACACTGTGTTAGGTGCTGAGGGAGATGTGAAGTTTAGAAAAAAAAATAACACAACAAAACCCTGACCTCATGATACTTACAGTCTACTAGGCAAGAACCATGGAACCATTTCTTAGCAGTTCTCAAGTTCTCATCACCACATCCCTCCCCTCCACATTCAAACTCTAGCCAGGGTCCTGTCATTCTGGAAACTTGACCAATCTATTGAAGTGTGGTTGTCCCAGAGGATCTGGGTTTCAGTCTAGGCTCTGCTACTATGCACCACCCATTTTCTTCTCAGAGCCCTGCTCTGGGCAATGGGGGTAGGGGAAGTGGGTGTGGAGGAAGATTCAGAGAGATGAGCTGTGGATCTCCCCTGTACTGAGCTCCTAATTTGGCAAAGAAGATAGATACACCCTCAGGACAGAGACCCAGACCCTGAGACAGGATCAGAACCAGGAGTGGTTGGACAGAGTTCTAGACATCTGGGTAGGGGACAGTGGGAAGGGTTTCAGGATACAAAACCGATGAGCTTAGTCAAGGAAGATTTCCTGGAGCAAGTATTTTTGCTCTTATGGAACAGCTAGGTAGGAGGGAAGAAGAAGGACTGAGGGGAGGCAAGGACAGAGGGCATCTTCCCCTGTTAACAGGGTGAGCAGCTTATGTGAAAGTTTTAGCTATAGAAGAGGGGGACGCATGGGGTGGAGGGTGGATTTCAGGAACTGGTGTTAGGGTTGGGAGGGGGGATTTCTCTCTAATCCTAAATTATGCTGTGTGTACAATGGGCTAGGAAAAAAGAGGGGAGAAGCTTGTGCAAAAGGGAGGAGCTCACAACGGAGAAAAATGACGAACTTGGGAATAGATTCACTTGACTACATGAAAACTCTGGGCTGGAAGTCATTGGACAAAAGTAACTGAAAAAGAGGAAGTGACAAGTGGGCTTCTTGAAGCCCATTCAATGTAATGTGTATTCAAGAGGGAAGAGATTTCCCTGTGGATTTCCAAGCCAGAGTGGGATAGGGGCAGACAGAGGGTTCAGACAGCCCAGAGGAAGAAAACAGGAGTGGAAAAGACACGAACCGATCTCATTGTTTTCCACAGCCATGGCCAGCTCTAGTTGGAGAGAAGGATACTGCAAAAAGGGAGGAGAAGGCCTTGGAGGTGACTTTGACTAGGGTTCAGAAGTGGAAGGACCAGCTCAAGGGTAAAAATCATGCTAACAATCAAGATAATTAACCTCAAAGCCCACCACGTGAAAGTTGTTTGCCCTCCCCCAATAATGCATGTGCATCTTGTTATGCGTCACCGAAAAGTTTTGTAAATTGGCTTCTCCATTCCCAACTCCATCTCCCCAGCACACACTCAGTTGGCCATTCCAGGGAGAGGGAGAACAGTGCATCTTCTGGAAATGGAATCTGTCAG